ATATAATAAATAAATAAATACACATAAATAGTAACATAAATAGTAATATATTTTTCAACTGTACTTTAATATACCACGGTCTTAATAAAACAGCTGGTAAGGAGTATCGAAAAAAATTTATATATAAATACCTTTCAGTGCAGGATTTGTAACATTACAGAATTGGCCAAGATAATGATCTGTGCAGCTGTAATAAAAATGAATTTATATAAAATGATGTCTTCATAAAAAATTATTACTGTATTTCTAACATTAAATATAAAAGGAAAAGGATATACTTTTAAAGTTGAGCAAAATTTAACAATCAATTTATTTTTAAATTTATTATATTTATTACCTACTATTGCCCTTTTAAGTAATATTTTTTTACTGTTATTTCTTGAGTCAATACTTAACTTGTCCAAAATGTTTCAATCAGTATTTATTTTGTGTTTTCTTTAAAGAAAAATATGGTAAAAATTTAATGTTTTATTGGTTTCTTTAATTAAAATTAATTCATTATTTGCAAAATTGATTCAATATTCGACAAAATTCTTTAGAGCAGGGATTCCTATTCTGGGTTCCACGAAATTATTATTTGAAAATTTTAAACTCGACTTTAACGAACTCTAATTTTTTTTTTTTTGCATTTTCGTTACAATAGAATAAGAAAGGAAAGCAAACATGCCAATAGAATAAAGGTGGGGGAAACTGAAATTTTTTTTTCCATCAGGATGTACGGTTGAAGTGCGTGAAAAAAGGGCATCGCCACTCTTCTTAACTTTTACACTAAAAACTTGTTCCGCATTTTTAGTCGGGCGTCTTCATGGCTTTATAAAAGCTTTTGGCATTTGGTAAACATCCTTCAATTAGTAAATGAAAAGATCTCACTCTTCTTTCCAATGTTTTTTTTTCAAAAAATTGTTGGAAGCGTTGATTAAATAATGTGGGGATTCTTGACCAATATCCACTAAGTTATATCATTAAATGATTCTCTGGTATTTTTACTTACTACTAATAAAATTTTAAAATATGTTAAAAATTCTAAATTATTTTTTTTATTTCCCAAAAGAAATTAGTTGCTTAAGTGACATATGATTGATATTTAGATGTGAATTATTTTTAAAGATCGAAATTTCTTATATATTAATAATCCAAATGTACGATCACAAATGATGAATTATGTTTAAATCAAACATATTTCGATCATTTGCTTTTTACAATATACTAAAATAATTAAGTTAGTGTAATTTCCTTTAATTGATTATAGATTTTTATTTAGTCAGCAATTTTATATAATTTTAGACGCCCAATATAACCTTATATCAGAATTATCATCGTGAAATTTGTACTTAAAATGTATGATCAAATTTCATATTTCAGTGATTTTCTGTCATGTGGAATTATTTTATTTCATTTATAATATGTAAGAATTCAAAATATTTTCACCGACACATTTTGTTTTGTTTAGAAATAACTTATAAGTTTTATTCACAATGAAAATCAAAACATTTTTATTACTTATAAAAAAATATATATTTTGGTGCCACTTTTAAATTAAAATGATCCGCAAACTATAACTAAACTGTTGAATTATTAGCTCTTAAGAAGTGAATATAAAATTATATTATTACCTTAGGTTTTGGCATCGTGTAAACATATAAAATGTTTGACATATTTAAGTTCGGCAATTTACTTTAAATGCATCTCATAATCTCTTTATTTGTATTTTTTCTTTACATTGTTATTACACATTATTTTTAGCACTAGAATTAGGATTCATTTTGATCACTAATAATTTTTTTCAACAAGCAATACCAAGCGAGTGCAATTATTCTTTTTGTCCTGCTTATTTTCAAATTATATTATTTTGTAACAATGTGTGCTTCGATGGTGCAAACTCCATGGGTTGAAGCGTCACTCAAACCGCTGGTTGGATAGCCGAAGGTTGCGAGATGGAACCTGGCAGCCAATAACAAAAAAACAACCAGTTTGTGTAAGCATCAAGGTGCACGTTAAGTCTGAGGGATTGAAAGTCAACTCGATGGTTGTGGTGTAGACGTTTGAAGAGAGGAGTACCAATAACCGTTAAAAGATACAGCTCTAAAAGGGGGACTTGATGTTTACCCATGGTTGAGGGATCAGGGGTCTGTTCAGACATTTTGTAAAAGGTCCGTTTTTGTAAAATTGTGAAAAAATTACTCGTAATTTATGAATATAAAATAAACGTTAAGTCACGTTCTTTCAACCAGGGTCCGATTTTGTGAATTTGTGCAAATAGGGTCCGTTATTGCAAAAAAAACTTTTTCAAGGAGTTTTTAAATTGCAAAGAAAAACACGATTATGAACAACACTGCAAAATGATAATTAAAAAAATTAAATTTAAAATATTAAATTTGAAAAAAAAACATCAATTGCTGCTACTAAATTAGAGATGCAACACACAAATATTTGGTACTAGCCGCCTAAGGCGGCCAGCTGTCCGCCACGCTGAAGGTTTTCACAAATAAAGTTTTTTAAAACATAGCAGGAAATCTGAAGATTAGTGGACAATTAAAGTGTTCCTGTCCTGCAATTTTGTCTTCATATCCAGTTCTGCTGCAGATGTGTTATAGCTCTTGAGGATGTTTGAAATTATATAGCTACAACGCTTAAGAAAAAAAAAACTAAAATGCTAAATACATGAAAAGAACACGAAAACGAATAAATTTTTTATGGTATCAATTTCTATTTCTATATAATTTTTTATGGTATCAAATTCTATTTCTATATCTGTTACGTCAAGCACTCAGGTATTATAATTTGATCTAGTTGTGCTTGTATAATTTTGATCTAGTTGCGCTTTCTACGTCATTTTGTTAACATCGTTTGGTTTGTTATTTAACATCGTTTGGTTTGTTATTTCTAAGTTAACTTTCAAAAAATTGGCTGGCATCAGCATTTTTATTCTTTAAGTTGTTTATTTTTTCTTTTGGAATTCGTTCCTTTTTAGCGAAATGTTTTTCAACCTAATCGAATTCTTTGCCGACTGTTCTCTGTATATATAAAGAAAATAAAGTAAATATTTTTAAAGTGTTGTGAAAAGAATTTTTAGTTGTACAAAGTACTACAATATCGCTACAAAAATTATCGTCTTCGCTTAAGAAAAAAAAAATAGAGCGTGGAAAGAAGAAGAAAAACTTATTATAACAATTATGAACAGCGACAAATATATCAAAGCGAAGCGTTCTATTTACGTATCGAATATGTTGCCACATTTTTAATACAAAAGTTAAACTTTTCTCCACTTTGATAAATGTAAACTAATGCGAACCTTACAATTAAATTATTAATTCCTTCGTATATTATTGGTTTAAGTTGTCGAAAATTAATATTTCAATTGTGAGGTTCGCATTAGCATACATTTATAAGAGTGGGGAAAAGTATATGCATTTTTTAATAGTTTTTTGAATATGGCTCTTTGAAGACGAAAAAGCAGACGAAAAGCATAGACTTACAAAATGACTGATAACTAAATAACTAATCAAAATTTTTGAAAAAGAAAAAAAATACTTCTTCATTATGTCAAAACACAATTATGTGCCGAGTTTCGTGCCTGGGCGAGGCTTCTGGGGCGATATATTGTGATTACAGGCACACACACAGCCGCTTTTATTATTATGTATAGATTTAGCCTATACTACTGCACGCAGAATATTAATTTCGGACGAATAAAGGAAGAAGCGTCTACCGAAGATAAAATTTAGTTCGTTTACATTTGTCTGTCTCCTCTCCCCCCTTCATGGGAAGGGTTTATTCGATTAAAAAAAATGAAGATAAGCAAAATTGTGAAGTTTCCGATTAAAAGATAAATTATTTTGTGAAGGGTCCGTTTTCAAGTGAAAATATTTTGGGAAGGGTCCATTTTTAAGAAAAGATATTTTGTGAAGTGTCCGTTAATGGACCCAAATTTCTTCTAAACAGACCCCTGGTGATGTGTGTGCGGTGAAACAATGTCATGAAAGAGATAACATATTAATATATTTTCGAACAATGACAACATTTCAGCATCAAGTGCAAATTACACTTTACGATTGTAATGTCGAGGAGCTAAATTTTGAATGTTTTCCTAATCTTCAAATCTCAATTAGAGAACAATAAAACAACTGATGTGCCGAACAATAATGCTCAACAATTGCTCCATTTAGAAAAAAAGGACCTTATTGGAATTCTTCTAGAGGATAATGCAGACATGAAAGGCGTGCCAAACCCTTACAACCTTCGATTATAAGCATTTAATTATAATAAAATGAAATTACTATTTTGAAACGAAATTTGAAAACATAACATTGGGCGATTTTCGGGTAGAAATAAAAGGCAAATATACGAAAGTAACAAGAAAAGATATAAACATTTCGCTAACTTTCAGTTTGAACTATTTTTTTAAAGCAAGAATTTTTTCTCATGCATACAGATAAAGAAAAAAATTAGAAAGATGCTCGCTATTCTTAATATTCGAGTATAACTTTCAAACGCAAAGCCAGATTTGGAAGCAATTTTAAGAATATTTAAGCAATTCAATGTCTCACGTTAGCTATAAATTTGTATTGTTTTCAAGCATCTTCTTCAATCTTTAAAAGTTCAATTTGCAATATTTAAAATGAGTTTTATACTTAATTACTCCATGTTTAATTCAAATTTTCTTGTGCTTCATGCAGATAGTTATTAACGTTCTTATATTCTTATTTTTTGCATGTTTTTAGCCACCCGAAAAAAATATAATTCTCGAAACACATAGATTCAAGATCATTAAGGATATAATGGACTCGAGAAACTAAGATTTTTATTTTTATTTAATTTTAAAAAAATAAGGTTGGCAAAACTCATTGGTCCAAAATAGTCTATGAATCATAATTAGCAATGACTCAAGATACTACTTTTGTAATTAATATTTTCTTTAATATATTCTAAAATTAAGGTTTACTAATCACTTAGGTCTAAGATAAATGAAAAAAAACATCAATGAAAATAACATCAAATGAAAATAACATCATATAAATTAATAATTATTTTAATAAATTTAAAATAACCTACGATATTAGGTTTCATAGAAAAAAATTCTCGTTTAAGGGCTTCCCTGGCACAAAAAGCTTGGGAGCCTCGACTCAAAGAGACTTAAAAAGAGTTCTTGTAAAATGCACCCAGCAGTGTAATCGATTAAAAAATCAGTAATATATCTGTTTTATAGTGTTACTACTTTTTAAAAGAACAGAAACTTTTTATCCCTTTTGTGACAATCAGTCCTCTTCAGGAATTTGACTTCAGTTACCACTTGAAATATTTCATAAGGCTATTTGCCATTGGAAAAAAATAGGAAAATGTCCTTATTAAATGTTTTTCATGTCCAATTAGGATTTGTAATTACGCGTTCTTAGTGATTAAACTATCTCCCGCCGTTCATGCTATAAAAAGAAAATGACAAAACTCCTTACTTGCAAAAATATCCATTGTTTCCAACTGATTGACATCTGCCATGCTCTCCACACAGTTTATGTTCACACACACCTACAATGAAACATTTTTCAAAAAGGACCTACGTTAATAACTGTTATACAACACTGGCTACCTTTAGCGACAAGCTTTGATCACCTTCAAAAATTATCTCGTACAACTTATAAACCTTTAGGGTAGCAAAGCTAAATGCGCATAACAACTGTTTTGATAGTTCTTCAACGCTCCTCAAATCATTACATCTTAGTTAATTTTACGCAAATATATATATATATATATATATATATATATATATATATNAACATCTACCAAAATCATTTTTTTTAAAAATTTTTTTCAAAATATAATTTTTTAATTTTATTTATCATCCGAATTACATATTCATATATATATATATATATAATGATTAAGTTATAGGTATTACCTGGAACTTAATCACCAGTTCACGTGAGAGCATTTTAAATGGATCTAAAGCCATGCTAAGAGTAATACACCTAGAACAGAATATCCTCTACCAGCACGTGTTTAGTGGAGGAATATGAGCGAAACGCTATGACAATATATCGAAAAATGTCAACTTTTTATAACGAACTCTAATTAGAGCAAGCGGTTGCGAACAAGTGGTATAAAGATTCAAGAGAAGAGCGTATGTGATCTGTCGAAGCCTACGGCAAGTAAACGTTAAAATCCTCAATTAATACATTTCGGCTAGTAAAATAATTAGAGATAATAGTAGAGTTAGGAATCGTTACATCGATGTAGCACTTGATCTTATATAAATAAATGAATGATGCAATCAACTTTCACTGAGCCGTGATGGCTCGTGGGGTAGAGTGTTTGCCTTCCAACGAAGTAAACCGGGTTCAAATCGTCGATGGCTGGCCAATGCAAAGACCCCATCCGGATAGCACCGATCTTAGTTCCATCAAAAAGTCCTTCATAAAGATAAATTTCTCTCTATACTTGATCCAGGAGTTCCCTTGTCTACTGGATTGGGTTCAAAATTACATGGCTGCGGATTTGAACATTCGTAGTCGTCAAATAAATGGATTGGGTCGACTGTTCAACAAAAGTTATAAAGCAAAATGAAATCTCCTTTCACTGAGCCATGGTGGCCCAGGGGATAGAGCGTTCGCCTTTTTATGAGGTGAATTGGATTCGAATCCCAGTGATGGCTGGTCGACATGAATTACGCACTCGGCTAGACGAACCACAGTGCTGACGTTAAATATTATCAGTGGTAGACGGATCATGGATTAGAGTCCCCTTGCTCTCGGGCTTATCGTGAGATGTTTTCGTGGTTTTCCTCTCCGTGTAACGCAAATGCGGGGTAATTTCTTTGAAAAGTCCTCTAAGAAGGAAAATATCTCCTAATACTTGTTCCAGGAGTTCCCTTGTCTCCTGGATTGGGTTCAAAATTACATGGCTTCAGAGTTGCACATTAGTATTCTTAAACCCAAAATTTTGCTGGCTGTTCAACTATGGTTATAAACTAAAATATAATATCTTTTCGCTACTAAAAATCATACTATTTAACGTTGTATTGTTTATGTGCATAAATTTTTAGCACAGTTAATCAATTATATGCTTTCTGCTGCGCAGTCCTTTTAACTTCCTTTAACCCCTATAAGTCCATGATCGCATATGTGCTATCGCACGGTTTTCCCAGCACGGCCCATGGTATCATATATGAAACGAATTTTTCTGACTGAAGCGGCACAAGATCACACAAATATGATCAATCTTATATTGTATCTCGTATAAAACGTAAACGTACTCGAAAGAGTACGTTTTCGTTTTATAGAAGCGTAGGAAAGGTAACGAGAGTATGTACGTTTTATACGAGCGTGTTCGTATAAACTCGGAGCGTATGGACCTGTTAAAGCGCTTGTTTCTCTTTCTCTGGCCCTGGAAAGGTTAAATTCATGATTGAATTGCATCATACAGCAACATATGTGCATTTCTCGTCTCTTAAGCAGTTATAAATAAGTAGAACATTGTTGTCTATAGCTATCCAATTGAGGCATTTTACTTCAGGAAACGTTTAGGCGACACGGTTTGAAAACATATTAATGGAATTATGCGAATTTTGGAACTAACTCCGCAGGTATACTCAGCTTAAAGTTGTTTGTGCTATGACAATTAACCAAAGGGTAAAAAGAGTTGAGTTCTAACATTATGTTCAAACAGTAATATTCAAAAAAATTTTAAAATTGAGTTTTCAATTTTCAATATGCATACAGAAACATAATAATAAAACATTCGTTTGCGTACAATGAAAACTAGCTTACCAATGCAGCCATCTTTCTTTACATTATCTGACTTATCCCTGAAACCATCGTTACAAAAGCAACTATAACTTCCAGGTGTGTTGAAACAATGCGAATTCTTTGGGCAAGACGTTGCTTTCAAGCATTCATTAATGTCTGAAAATAATCATTTATCACTATTTTTAAATTATTTTTATTGCAAGAAATAAAATGTTCTGAAACTGCAATAATTTTTTATTATCAATAACGAACAATTATTAGTTTATGATAATATATCAATTATGGTAGTTAACAATACATAAAAGATTAATAAATATACAGCGTTCACACAGCAGTGTGTTTTGCCAGTCAATCAATGATGATTACCAGGCCTAGGAACGCAATAGTCTGTATATATATAAAGAAATTTTCCCGCCTCAAAGTTCTTCCTTCTATGGAAGCCTGCTTCTATGGAAGCAAGAAATATCGCATTTCAAACAGGGGAGCTTTGCAATAGAAAAAATGAAAAAAAAATTCTATTTCTTTCATCTATCCGAGTCAAAACCTGTCTTAAATATTGACCCATCACACTTACTTGAAAGATTTAAACCTCGTAACCATAATTACCACAATCGCTTTTGACGAATAATGTGGTAAGATCTTAACATAGACAGACTGCAGATTGCTATACAAGAACTGAGTGACTGTCTCACGAGCTCCTAAGTGATATTATCAGTGCCTAGCTAGTTCAATATCGTTCTATTTGATATTGGAGAGATGAGTAATGGATAATTTGTGTTACGTCAAATCACATTTGAACTGTTGAATATGGTTTGATTAGGGAGGCTATCTAGAATGAGGAATGAAATATGCTAAGGATTGTTGCTTAGTTAGTCAGATGGATTCAAGTAGAACTGTGATGCAGCGAATGTTCTTATTTATGTCTTCGTGAAAGAGTCACTATGTCACCAATTGAAGAGAGAGCATGCAAAGTTCTTGATTAAATCAGATCATTCAGTCTCAAAACACTAAGTTGCTTTATACGTCTTTATTTTTATATTTATAATATTTTTCCTTAAAAAAAGCACTTCCCTTTCTTTGAGAAATAATTTTCTCAATATGAGGAAACCAGCTTAATTGCAGGCTATTTTTTATTTTTTTTTGCTCGCATAAATAATGTAGGATTCATTAGGAACAAATAATTTAGGTAATATGAAATAATTTATTTAAAACTTTTTATTTTTAAGTAATGTCAAAAGTATTGTATGTTATCTCACAAAATATACCAGCCTTTGTTAATAAAACTTTTCAGTAAGGTAAACTTTTAGGGCATTAGCAATTGCGAAGTCTTAGTATGTTATGTATATATTCGTATTGAATTAAGAGGAAACCGACAAACATGTTTCCTCTTTAATTCAATGAGAGTCACTAAATAAGAAAAAAAAACTTAATGCTGTAATATAGTTTTCCATTGTTGTCTGGGCATTTTTATTGATCCGAAAATTTCATAGTGAGTTCTAATTTTCCATATGTTTTGGTTATAATCAGCATAAAATTAATATGAGCTATAAAGTTATTATTTTCCTATTAAATAATTTTATATCCCTAATTCAAAGGTATTTACTTGCTATATTAACTTTTCTTATTCTACCCTTCTACAAGGTCCGGCTATTAATTTCCAGGACTGACGTAACTGTAGGAGAAAGAAAAGCCGGAAGATGGCGCTAATGATTGCATATTGAAGAGTGTTCTCTTGCGCATGTGCAGTGCAATCGGCGCCATTCTGAAGTGAATGGTTCTCGTGGAAAAGCGCATTAAAACGGAGCTCTTAAATTCCTGTTGTCGAAGTGAAATGGAGCAAAGAATTAACATTAAATTTTGCTTCAAATTGGGCAAGACAGCTGCAGAAACCTACAAATTGTTAAAACAAGTTTACGGCAAGGAAGCATTATCTCGCTCAAGAACTTTTGAATGGTTTAAACGCTTTCGAACGCGAAAGCGTGGAAGATGATCCGCACACAGTTCGTACGCAAGCCGAAAGCAATTGAAAAAGTTCGCGTCCATGCATTGCGTTTGCCTGTGAGGCGATTCTTAGCTCAGCAAGGTGTCGTTGAGTCGCAGCATCCACCATACTCGCCAGACCTAGCACATACTTTTTCCTGTTTCTTAAGCAGAAAAATTCACTGAAGGGAACAAGATTTCAGGATGTCAAAGCCTTCACGAAAACTGTAACGTTACAGTTTTCTGTAACTGTAACGTTACAGTGAATTTTTCTGCTTAAGAAACAGGAAAAAGTATGTGCTAGGTCTGGCGAGTATGGTGGATGCTGCGACTCAACGACACCTTGCTGAGCTAAGAATCGCCTCACAGGCAAACGCAATGCATGGACGCGAACTTTTTCAATTGCTTTCGGCTTGCGTACGAACTGTGTGCGGATCATCTTCCACGCTTTCGCGTTCGAAAGCGTTTAAACCATTCAAAAGTTCTTGAGCGAGATAATGCTTCCTTGCCGTAAACTTGTTTTAACAATTTGTAGGTTTCTGCAGCTGTCTTGCCCAATTTGAAGCAAAATTTAATGTTAATTCTTTGCTCCATTTCACTTCGACAACAGGAATTTAAGAGCTCCGTTTTAATGCGCTTTTCCACGAGAACCATTCACTTCAGAATGGCGCCGATTGCACTGCACATGCGCAAGAGAACACTCTTCAATATGCAATCATTAGCGCCATCTTCCGGCTTTTCTTTCTCCTACAGTTACGTCAGTCCTGGAAATTAATAGCCGGACCTTGTATTATTACGTTTTGGAACCTGATTGTTATCTAAACTAAGAGTTTAAAACTAAAATTATTGTTTCTTTTTTCTAATGTAATTCTATAATAGTACACTTCATTACAAAATATACTTATTTAAATCAGTCTTTATCCATATTAACCATTTAAGAATTATTATTTGGCAAATTATTTTAATATAATATTATAAATTGCAGCTCGAAAGCTTAGTTTGATGATTTTGAACTTAACGATCAACTTCTTCACAATATGATGCATGTGTAAATTATATTTCATATTTTAACTTGATTAATAAGCGATAATTACTTTTCCAAACTCACCAAATTGGTCCTAACAATATACCTTTCATTTCAAACATTATTTCAAAAAAATTTTGTCGTGGTAAGATTGAATATAAAGATAAGCAGATGATTCTTCTCTTAGTTCAATCAGTGAGGAAGAGGAAAAGAAAGAAAAATGGGTCACCTGATTAACTTTAGAGTGGTTGGTCGTATGTTCAGTAAAGTGTTATGGAAATATTTCAAAGGAATCTCTTGAATAAAGTACAATGTAGAAAAAATAAATAAATGGACAACTCTAAATAAATTTTGATCTTAGGATCTATCTCCAAGTTCTAGGAAACGATCTTATTGATCTGAAGGGAAGACCTCAAATAATCTAACTAATTAGATTTTAAGCTACGAAATCAGACAAAAACGTATTTTCTCTGAATAGACGTACATTGTTTTTGATGGTTTCAGATTTCTGACCCCCGAAATATAGGGGTTAGTCGCAATCGGGGAAATATGATTCCATGAGTTTGGTCAGGAGAGCACTCCAGAGTTCAAACCCTTTAATGTTAAGGTCACTTTTTGCGCATTTCACCATGTTTCGATAAGTTTTTAAGCAAACTGAAACATTTTTGCACACAATTATAAAAGTGATTTAACCAATTTTAGTAAATATGTATTTTATTTAATAATAGTTTAAAATAATTATGATCTGTAAGGTATAAAGTTTTTTAAAGAATACAATTTTAAATGGCAAAGTACAAAACTTGAGAGAAATCAGTCCTTGAGTAGTTGAATTTTAAAAATACTACTTTTTAAAATGTTTGAGCCAGTCTTATTTTATGGTATCAACGTTTGCTAACAACGTTACCATAAAACAAGTAACGCTTTGTTAAACACCTTTATTTTTCACTCAGTGAATTCTATTTTCGGTCTTACGTTGGTCAATTTCCAAAACAACTCAACCAATAGACATGTTCTACAATTAAATATACAATTGAATGTAGTAGAATTAGTTGAATTTTGGAGTAAGAAGAAGAAAAGGTAAAGGCAATTACCTTCACAATGAGGGCGTGTGTTCTGTCTTCCTTCAAATATTGGATAAACACGAATAGTAGAATAACCGTCTTTGCAAATACAATAAAACAATTCATTGTTTTCTCCTTTTCTTATGCAATTTGTTGTTGTCCCACATATTTCGTTTTTAACACTTTCTTCACAAGGATCTGTTAATTTTAGCACTCCTAATAAAAGTATAAAAGCATCGTAAAATTAGATACTTGTAAAATATTTACGCATTTCATATTCTTGAGACAAGCGCAGATTACAAATATTTTCTTTATACCTTTAGATGCCCTTTTCATGATTAGATTTGAGTTTATTGTGCAATAGTCTGTGTTTCCCAATGGAATACAGAGAGAGGGATCAGCAATTGAATCTAATTTTTTTTCATCTGGTTTTTCTTTAAATTTCATTTCAAGCTCACATTTGAAATCTTCTTGTTGAGTTCTATAATGTAGAAATAATCTATATAAAGTAAGTCTTAGAAAATGTTTAAAAAAATGCAATAATTAAAAGCAAAGTAGTTATTTAAATAAACATTTTGAATAAAACAAAAATAAAAAAGTGATTTAAAGTGAAAAGAATATTATTGACTTGCATAAGTGCATATTTAAGAATCCATTAAATTTAAAAACTAAATATTAAGTATCACTTACTCGCAGCCCAATATGAAAAAGTCAGACTCTTTACCATAAACATATTTCAGCTATAAAAAAAATACAAATCAGATAAAAATAAAGCAGGTTTCATGCAATCATAAATATAAGTTTTTGAAGATTAATTTTAATTTTTAAATGAGGAAAATGCCGTTAACTGGGTATTGTAATTCGTGCGGGGTTATTTTAGCAGATTAAAAATGTTTTCATTTTTGTTCTGTTCTGAACAAACAAAATAACTTAAAATATATGGATTTTTTTGGGTGATTTAAAAATAGTTTGAACCCTATTTAAGGGTATTTTAATACTTTTGGGTAGTTTAAAAATAAATATAGTGGCATAAAACAAAATGAATGCATATCTTTGTGTTCTGATCTTATCTAAAAATAATTTTTACCCTATTTGAGGGAAGTTTAATACTTTTGGGTAGTTTTAAAATAAAAATATGGGACTAATATAAAACATATGGGTATCATTGAGTGCTATCAATTTGTATCCTATTTAAGGGTTAATTAATACCTTTGGGTAGTTTAAAAACATAGAAATGGTATAAAATAAAATTTATGCGTATGTTTAGGTACTTATCTAAAATAATAGTTTCTATTCTATTTAAGGACAGTTTAAAAGTCTTACCATTTGCAACAATGGTGATTTTATAAGCTATTGTTTTGCTGAGTTAATTGTTCACCCCCAAAATCTCGATTGGGATTGAACAAATTGTTACCATTGTATTTATTAATTTTATTCTTAATTTTTTGCAGGTACATTTTTGGTTCAATTTTCATAAACATAATATATGAAATCAAATCTGATAGATAGATTCTTCTTCTTAATAACTGAGCTGACACCAAGAAAAATAATTCCTTCTAAGCTAATGAAACGAGAATACTTCAATGCTCTTGATGGCCGAAATCGAGTTAAATTAAAAGTATAGCATTCAATAGTTATAAAGACAGAAACATTAAAGTTTTTTAAAATAAAATTTTATGCAAATTTGCTTTTATGTTTAAATATGCAATATAAGTCTTCGCTAATTTTAAGTAGCATTTAGCAAAAGTTTCTAAAAATAACAGATGTTATAATATCTATTCATTATTACTTACATCAATCTCAATTTTCATTAAAATAAGAGAGTGGTATGAAGGAAGTGGAAACAAGGATTTGATTAATTTGGACCAAATAAAATATATTGAATGGAATAAGAAACTTACAGAATATTTGAAATCTTTATACAATGCAACATAATCCACTTGAGCAGTAGATCTTTTTGTTCTTCTGGCGTATCTTCGCTTATTGTTTTCATATGTTTTTCCTGGGACGGTAAAATTGCCAGTGAAGGAAAATTGTGCTGTTTGGAAACAACAAATACATTAATCATTACACTTTTTCATTTATTTACGCCATTATTTCATTACACTGTTTTAATTTTCATTCTGAAATTACAGTAGAATAAATGAAAGCAGTCAATCCATCCAATTTAACCGTAATGTTTGCGATAGAGAACATCTCGTACCTCTACGGTTTTGAAACCGTTTATAACTAGTATGGTTATAAAACCATGAATACCTAATTATACGGTTCTTAACCATTTACCACTAGCACGGCTTCAAAATAATAAAAAATAAATTTAACCTGACAATCGAGCTACGCTTTTCATCAAGTAATGAACAGTTTAGTTGGAACGTGATTAAGTTGTATTTCAGCTAATGAATCGTGGAATGTGGTTTAATTTGTTTAGTTGTTTTTTTCTTAAAACTTATCCTAGGAAATGGGAAATACTTTGTTTTAAGCTACTTGAATGAGAGTCTATGCAGTAATGAAAGAATCATATTCAATAGTCCAGGGTCACAAATTGAAGAGTACAGGGCACGGGAAACTCTTCATGCGTTGAAGGGAATGAAGTAAACGCTGAACTCGAACTCCTGCTCTGTCGGTCAGGAGATTAACATATTAGGCCTCTCTCCTACAATATGTACCCAGCTATTAGGTACTAAGTGGCTTCATTAAAGGCGCACAGTTGGTGTGATGAAATTCTGGTTACTTAACCAAAATAAGTAAAATCAGTTAATAAGCAATTTTACACAAATTTAACAGTTTGAATACCATCTGATTTATAGTTATTTGATTGCTTTGATTGAATATGGGAAAATAGCAATTATGTAAACAATTCCAATTTTTGAGCAATTTCTAGCCGTTTAGTTATTTACATTGACTTTCATTCAAATAAGATGACATCAAGAAATCTTAGTTAATATAGGTCAAAAGAATAAATATTTAGTTTGGTTTCTCCAACTGCCGATAATAAGAAAAATAAAACTATTTATCGTGCTTTTCCTTCGTTAAATAAGACAACTATATAGACAAAAAGTCATGAATGAAATTTATTCGTAATCCTAAAACTAAATAGAAATTTTTTTAACACGAAATAATAAAAAAATTTATTTCCAAACTGTTAAGTAAATAAATATATAGCAGTAAAAAATTTATCTGCTTTTTCAGAAATTAAAATTCAAAATGAACGTATAAAATAAATTTTGTATTTTAATTTCCACAAACATAATGAAAAAATTCAAGAAAATTTATAGATTACAACAAAGAATAGATTACGATTACTATTGAAAAAAATATCTTAACTTTCAATTTCAATATGGCTGTAATAAAAATTCTAAAATACCTTTTGAAATTGTACTTAGTGTAAATACTTCAAGTTAAACTTGAATATGGCGCAATTAGTATTGAAGAATTCCAGCGCCATTAAACTCTAAGTAATTTAATTATACAATCGAGAAAAATAAGAAAATAAATTAAACAATGTAACGTCCGACATATTTTCAGTAAAAAATGTCTACTTTTAAGCGTTTGGTTATAGGTGATATAATAGCATGTTATTTCAAATAAAATACAATATCGATACAAAAATACCTTTGACACATTTTTTCTGATTTGCATCGTTCTCAAACACAAACAGCGGAGGACATTTGCAATCGGGCTCATGGTTTTCATCTAATATGCACTTGGCTGATATTTTGAGGCATTTCTCTTCATTTTCCTTAAGATGACATTTGTNAATTTTTTTAGTTGAATTCAATGAAATTGTAGAATTAGATACTAAATTTAACTTACGAATGCAGATTCCGTTTCTATCTTTATCGAACCCGTTTTCACAGTTACATACATAACCATCAGTTACATCCGGTTTTTCAACACAATGAGCATTGAGCTTGCCGCATTCATTGTTTTTGCCTCCTTCTGAACACATTTTCTTGACTGAAAAACAAAGGTTAATATTGAAAAATATCAATATAAGGACCCAGTTACCCAAGTGCTTTAAACAAATATAATCGGACACTTTTACTTCTGACACTGCATAGTAAACAACAAATTAGTTTTCAGTTTTGTTTCTGCAAGCAACCTATCTTTATAAAAGTGGGGGTAACACATTGAGCTTTCCTAAAATTTGAGCTCTGACTTTCTTAATGTTATTAAATCTGATAAGTCTGTTCCTAATTAGCTGAATACGGAAATACTTAGAGGAAAACTGGAAATTGTTTTAAACATTGCTGTTGTCTTCATCATTCGTTACTCGTTCATTAGTTTTCGAAAATTTTCTCTTCACGTTGTGAATTTTAGCTTTCACCTTTAAATTATTGAAGAAGATTGTTGGTTCAAAGAGGGAGACATTTTTAGTACTAACTAGCTGAGAGAGACATTTTTTTCTATGCATACATTTTTAAGCTGAATCAATAAAAGCAAAAACAAGTTTATCAAACGAATAATTTAGAAGACATCGTATTTCAGTTTACATGATAACATTGAATCAAATGACAGCAAAACCAATCTGATAACAATAACATTTGGAAAGTATAAGTTTTTCACGCATAAAAAATGGATTTTTGCGTTGATAAAAAGTAAGGTATAGGACTTTTTCAGAACTGTGCCTTCAAGATTCCGGAAGTCTACATTAATAAGAATAGAAAGCAAAGATACGCTAATAAAATTAGTTTTTTGTAAATAGAGAAATAATTTTTACAATTGCGTTTTGGCATTTAGTGAAGAATTCATTCAAGAGCCAATTTTAGAATGGGAAGGTCATGGGACTTATAGCTCCACTATTTCGTCGACAAAATCATGATTGTGGTAAGGTAAAAAAAGCATTACATAATATAGTGCATTTATTCCCCAAACAGGCTGTTACCCATCAATACAAAACTGGGTAGATTTCAAACCACCACTTAGAAATAAATACACAAGTGGGCGACCTTTGTGCTAAAATATAAACTAAGGTAAACAACGTTTAAGAGCACAAAAAATATTTATAAATGCAGACAGCTGTTTCGGATGCTCAAAGGGCAACCTTCATCAGTGCAACAGAAAGAAATGAGAGAAAACAGGGTAAATATTGAGAAAGGTGACGTCACAAGGGGGGGTTAGAGCAACGGCCAATAGGAGGGAAGGGTGAATGGTTGGCGGCGAATGGGAAGTAAGGAACAAAAAAAGGGGGTTAGTTAGGTTTAATCATAGATTTCCAGCACTTAGAGCCTAACACATGTCCCTCGCATTGGTAGTTCAGTGCTTTTAATCACTGAGCCATCTCGGATTGATAATTAAGAGAGTAAATATAAAATTTAAAATATTCGTTCTGAACAGTTTTGGAGAGATTACACATGTCCTTGCCGTGCTTCAAGTAGACAATATTACCTTAAAGACTGCAAATGTGTTTAAAAATAGGGGGAAATACTTACGTTCACAGTGGATTCCATCGGTGGATAATTTAAACCTTCCTGTACAATTACAAATGAATCCATAGTTTTCATGTGGTATGCATTCATCATTTGGACAGGTATCACGAGGTAACATGTTTGCAGAGCACAAATCTGAATTAAAATGTATATCACAAAGCAATTAAATTATTTCAATATTATGAAGCATATATGTATTGAAGACATAAAAAAAATAATAATGAGGAGTACCAAAAAGTTATACACATGTATTATATTGTTATGGAAAATTTGTTAATAGTTGCCCGTGGATCGAATTAAATGAATTTTTGCTGATTATGGAAAAAATCAAAAATTATTAATGGCAAATGTCTGGTAAAAGCAGATGATGAAAAAAGGATCACATTTATAACAGAAAGATTATTTTTCGGCGCAATCCTCGAGTTCCAAAATGAAAAAAAGAATATTGTTTTTCAATTGAACTTCATTATTTCAAAGAAAAATCATAAATTTTGCATAATATAAATATGAACAGGTTCTGAAATATAAATCCCCCACGAAAATCAGAAGTCAAACTAATTGTGGTATTTAATTAATGGAGTGCAGTAGAGATCTATTATTGGCACGTTATCAAAAAAGGACGCTGCTGAAAATATAACCAATTCAGTTTTATTGTTTTTGCTATGTTTTAGATTATTTTGAGTTGATATTGTATCTTTTACTTGGAAAGTTAAGAAGGTTGAAATCGAAAAATTTCCTGAAATCAAGGTTAACAAACAAAAAGGGGTATCGAATGATTTTTTGCTTGAAAAAATCATAGTGTTAAAATTTCACGATTGTTGAGTGGTAGAAAAGCATTAATCATCTTGATTTTGCTATATTCCTCGTTTGCATACTTTGTATTATTCATTCCTTGTATACATTTTATCTTGTTTTTACATTTTAGTATTCTCCCCCTACAATCTTTATCATTTTAAACTCCCTTTTATCACTTTCTCATAATACTGAAATCATTGCCTTTCCCTCAAAATTTTATATTTTTAGTTATTGTTTATTCACCTTTATTTCACAGTCACCACAAAAGGAATTCCATTTCATTCGACTAGAGTGTAACGAAGTTTCTTAATTTTAAGCATTATCCCTGTAAGTAATAATCAATGCTTTTTGATTACCGGAACATCTTGTCAAAAAATTGAACATCGTTTGTCAAAAAATTGAACAAGCAAATGTTCTTTTGTAATAATTATAACAAAAAAACTATTATATTATCATATTTATATTTATAATTTAATAATAATTATTTTTATATTTAATTGACAAGAAATGAAACCAAAATGCACAGAATAACTATTTTGTTTACCAGTGCAATTTTCATTAAAGGAATGGTGGGTTTTTTCTGGACAAATACAAGTCTCTGCATCTCCTTCTTTCAGACATTTCCCAGGGGAACATTTGCTATTGTCTTTGCACAGATTTGAATTTTCTTTCAAAACTGAAAATAAAAAGTGAATTCTCACATGTAATAACAAGTAATATATAAGAACATTGTAAAAGAGATACGGCTGACACTTGAACATAAAATTAAACTGAACACTTTTTTAAAGCTTTCTGAAAATTTTAAAACAAACTTTTATGCAATAAGGCACAAAAACTTTCTTTTTCTCTAACAGTTTAAAAAAATCTGTTTTAATACTTCCCTGTGATGAAACAATAAGATCATTTACCACATCTATAATCATCATCCAAAGCATAATGGCCGTCGCACGAGCATTTACCATCATCACATTTTTGTTCACATTTTTTATCTCTCAATGCACAAGCGTCCTCTAAAAAAATTGATATGTTTAACATGACATTTGTTAATTTTACTACAATAATAAACAAGGTGCGCCATTACCCTTAATAGAATCTTTTATAATCTTTGCAAAAATAAAATAGAATAATTATGCACACTAGTGAGCTGCGACCCCTGCTCGCTAACGCTCGCCAACCACCGAAAATTGCTACGCAAACCAAGCTCGCTTCGCTCGCTACTAACTTAGGTACATTACAAATGCACAAAATTCTAAGAATTCAAAACAATCATTCAAATCCATATAAAAACTTTTTTTTTAAAAAAAAATTACATCTTTTTAGTAAATACTAAGTCATTAAAATAAATTTGAATTCAAATATATGACATGTAATTCGTTAAACCTATTAGAAATGCGCTGTAGTATAAAATCTTAAGATAAAATTTCTAAAACTGATATCTCTTTAAAAAAGTTAAAATTTTGGCTATAATTAAGTCTAATTGAAATAAGTGAATAGTGATAATTGAAATAAGTGAATTGCAATGGAAAAACCTGCATAAACAAATAAATTCGTGATATAAAACGAAAATCGTCAAATAAATTCGTAATATATAAATTCGTGAAAAAAAGCGCTTTCGACAAAATACTATATATATTGGATGTCCTAGGAGACNATCACATTTGGTAAGAATGCTCTCTCTGGTTATTTCAGTTTCCGTTCTCAAAAGCGCTATATGTTGAGCCATCTCAGCTAGATTTGGCATGTGACCATTTTAGCGGCAATCATTGGTCGATTTTCTAGCGTTGCCATTCGGGGAGTTGTAACGAGGCTTTTTTTTGTAGCCGTGTAAGTGAAATATATATATAGATTATAAGGAATATAATAATGTATTGAAATGCAGCTCTTAATGAAAATTGTTATAAACTTTAATATTTTGTTTATATTTAATAGACATTTAAATTTTTCAATAATGAGAAAACAATTTTTGCAACTAAGATGCTTACTAAGTTGTTTAAATTATTTTTATTTTCTTCACAAATCATCAGCTACTACTTACTTACCTTTGACGCATTCAGTTCCTGTAAAATAGTACTTTTCTTTACAAACACAAGAAGCTTCTCCATAGTCTGAGTATATGCACTTTTGAGAATCCTTATTACAGTTACATTTTTCTAAAAATTTTAAGGGCAAGCAATTAACAATCAACATTAAATATACGACATGTATAAAAATATCAGAAATCACAATTTTCTAATCTCAAAACGTTAAAATAATAATTAAATTTATATCATTTGTTAAAGCCAGAAAATAACTTACACGGACAAAAGATTTATATTGCAGAAAGTAAAGAAAAAAGGAATAATTTCTAGGAAATCAAAAAAAAAAAAAAAATATGTGAAATATTCCAATAATATCTATCAAAAATCTTAGTAGTAAAAAAGTATGTAAAATTTAATACAGAGCAATATTAAAAAAAATAGGAAGATCATATTTTTGTGTATAACAATAATTATTTTTACATTTTAAGCAACAATTATTTATGGGTCGGCAAGGAAAAAGGTGTATATAAAATATTATAAGTAATTTATGAAAATCGAGTTTATATAGTCTCGTTTAATTTTCGAGCTATTATGTTTATTTTATATAAAATTTATCTAAAAATGTGTTGCAAGAGTTTTTTATAATTTTTTTAAAGGACGCAAATGCAAAGTCAATGGTTTATTTGCTCTTATTATATTATTATTGGAAACCACCGTCTTTTCATCGGTTTCTTTATAAGTGACAACACTCTTGATAAGAGAAATTCTAGCATCACATTTTAAGATAAACTTTATATAAATTGAACATAAGACACGGAAAATCAGCCAGTACTATCTAAACTCGATTTTTCTAAATTAAACGTAATATTTTATTTATTACTTTTTTATGCAAAACGATAGAAAAGCTTTTTTTTTCAAATTTTTTCAAATTATTTTATTTTATACTTTTTCGTCTAAAGATTCATTAAGTCTTGAAAACATCGCACCCTTTCTTCCTCAGAAACCCGCTTTAAAAGCACAGCTATATAAAAAAAAATAATAAAATAAAAAAAAAACACTTGGATTCAGATGACATTAGAAATGCTAATTTGGAGACGTTGCACTGAACATGTAACTCATAACTGAACACACGTTCGCGTTGATGACTAAACATGTAAAAAATTATTAAACTTTAAGGAACGTGCTATAAAATCTTAAACAGAAACTTTGCAAATTTTACATATTGTATGAAACACCATGTGTAAAATTTGCACCCCGACACCAATGGGACAAAATCATATTTCAAACATTTCTTCCGAACCTTATAACTAAAATTTTTAACCGATTTTTCGGCTGTGGATTAATGTTCCTTCTTGTAGTCAATGTCTAAATATCAGAATCCAGAGCTAACAATGCCGGAGTATAAGAGATTCAAAATAGCGTTCCACGACAAGGACAGATAAAATACTGAGTAAAGGCAAGAGAAAAGTTAAAAAAAATATTGCAAAGTTGCCGTTAGCTTTCAAAATAAATATAATCAAACAAGTACACACTTTTCTTCTTCCCCGGAAGAGATTAATGAGCAGTAAAATCGTAGCTCTACCCCCGAAACCTAACATCTTGTAACAATTATTTGCTCTTCATAACTTTTTACTCCTCTTAGGTAGAAGTTTAACATTCCTCTTTCCTTCTTACAAATCCAGCTCATATCCATAATATTATCGAAAAGTGTAAAAAAAATGTGGTCGGTTAGTTCCCATGAAATGGTTGGTCGCATTAAAAACAAACAAATGGGAGTTATTTTCAGATTCCGAATGCCGCTTACATTATCATCAAAAATGGTATCGAGGCGCAATTTTTTTGTTTTTAGCACAGTCTTATTTAATACATTTCAGGTTAACCTCCAAAATCATAAAAGTGCTTATCAGAACGTACTAACTCTATCTATGTACACTCTCAAAAATAAAGCTCTCATTGATGACGATTCAGCAATACTTGAGCAGTATTTCGTTAATTTTTAGAATCATTTCGTCACTAAATCACGTGATTTGTGACGAAACGCGAACTCTCAAATATATAACGAAAATCTCTCTTCAAAGCGAAACCTCATTGTTGTGCATTGTGGGAGATAGTTAACTACTGGGCAATTGAAAGAAAAACGACTGGGCAATCGAAAATAAAATGCCGAATCTATCCGATGGCTGTGTGGTGATCAAGGAGTTGGACTCGTACCATGAGAATCCTAAATTAGAATTCCGATTTGGACATGGGTTCAATGTATCCGTTACTGTTTTATCTATCCATGAGTTATGCCACTTACACGGCGCCCACGCTAAAGCGATTGTTATAAGAGTTATAAACATTAGACACTGCAAGTTTTACTTATTTATTATTTTTTGGGAAGAAATAAAATGTATAGTATTTCGTTAATTTTGACGAAATTCGTTTCCTCGAAGAAGTTACGATAATTAATTCGTCACTTTGCATAAATTTTTGCTCGGATCATATGCCAGGAAACGGTTTGGTCAAAAACGAAAAACATTTTGTGACATTTGAGAATTTATTTCTTACGGTGTATTAAAATTTTGGTCAAGATTCCTATTTTCCCCCTTTGCACAGTATGATTCTTACTCTACGTACAGATAAGCATTTGTATGTACAGATAAGCATGCATATCTCATGCGTATCAACGGCAGCGTAAATATGATCTATAGACGTTTCTCTCGGTATGAACTTAGATTCTTCCGACAAATTTATTGTAAGTTCGATGCAGACACCTGCTGCACAAATTTGAAAGATAGTGAGCTTTTTCTGACCTCAATTATAAAGATTTGAATCGTATTACTGTCAGAACGAATGTAGTTGGCATCATGTGACTTCCACTGTTAATTGGTATGGTGAAAATGGTATTGACCGAATTACTAGCTTGCCCAGAGCCCGATCGAGTACCTCTGGGATACACAGTGGGCCGGCATCCAAGGTTTCGTGGCCAAAAATTAGTATTTCGATCAAATTTGCTCCAAAATTTGGGGGTTTTTATGAGCAAGCAAATTGAATTCATGGTTGAAATTTTGAAATACACTAAAAATACCAACAAAAAAAATGGCGGTTGGGGAACAAAATATGGGGAACAAAAATAAAAAAAAATATTATAATACGTTTAAATAATTAAATATAGTTATGAAAACATAATAATAATTTTCGTAATTTATATTAAAAATGAAAAACAAATTATATTTCGGAAGTAATATTGCAAAATAAAGCGAAAACATGAAAAAAATAAAAAAATTTGCTTTCGGTATATTTAGTCCACCTTTGCAATATGGGCAAAATGGGGCTGGTTTATTTCGAAAGAAAAAACATCAAGGAAGACAACATAAAAACAGTTTAGCTAATTACCTCGTGGAACTTTTTGGAGACAAGTTTCGAAAGTGATTCAAACATTGTAAAATGTCAAATGATAAGATATAAACTATAAGTTTGTCAAGAGTATTAACTAATCCAACAAATTGAAAAATTGTACTATAATTTTAGACTAATTACTCTGATAAAAATGAAACAGTAAGATGAAATACCTACTTATATTTCTGAAATCTAAATTTCAAAGTTACATTCGAAAAAAAAAATTTAACATATTTTTCACTACATTGTACTCTCGTTGGTTCAAAAAGTAAATTATAATGTTTGGATTGGTTATGAATACTTAATTTGGGCGACATTAAAGCTTCCTACACATATTTCAGTTGAAAATGTAATTTTAAATTTTGGTCAAAGATCATGGTCTTCTGGCCCACAGTGCGGATGAATCCACTCAACAAATTAAACGATGCTGCAGCCGTCTATAATCAGTCAGGGGATTTATGTATATTTTCCGAGCTGTTTAGGGGGGAATACGAGTATAACAGGCTGTCATTTAAGGACTTGAATAAAAAAAACATAGTTTTGAGAGTTGAGATTTTAATTACCCTTTTGTGAAAGCTTTACCTGTTTGCGAATATGGATAAATTATAATTTACTTTTCTATTGCGAATAAAAATAGATAGAATATTATTGTTTGACCAATATAATTTTGAAAATATCTACTACCTTGACACACCTTCTCCTTGCTATAAGAATAGTCCTTTTCACAATCACATGCACCATTTTTGCACAACTCGTATCTTCCTCTACATTTGCCTTCCCACAGAGCTTGCACACATTTATCTATTTCTGTAAAAATATAAAAATATTTAAGCAATATAAAATAAAATATATATTTAAGCAATATACATTTATACAACTACGCCATTGGATTTTTTCCTATGGAGCTATCTCAAGGAACTGGTGTTTTGAGACGTAATGACTACACCAATGGACTTAGTTGCTTGTCTGCATGCTGCTTGTACTTCGGTGGACCCCGCGATGCTGCAAAGAGTGAGGACAACCATTCCACTGCGTGCTCAAGCCTGCCTCGACATGCACGGCGGACGCTTTGAACATCTACTTTAAATTGTGTATAGTATACTGCTGTTGATATGTTCAATAAAGTGCTTTTTCTTGCACCAGCTGTGAAGTCATATTTTGTTTCTCGTATTTTTCTCGTAAACTGTTGATCGTACTGGAACGCTTTTTTCAGTTTTTATGTACTCCCAACGAGGAATCTAGCTGTGCAGAGTTTATGCGGTCGTTTTGGGACACCCTGTATATCCTAGTATAACGCGTGTGAATTTTTCCAGAGTTTTTAGGCACCTTCTTCTTTCGTCGCAAAAAACCTTAAAGAATTTAATTTCTCAAAAATAATGAATATTTGCAATTTTGTTCAAATTTTTAAAACTTGTCAAATAAGAAAAAAAAATTCTCCAAGGTTGTGTATTGAATAAACTATTACTTGTGAATTTTTTTAGAATTTTTAAAAAATATTTTCAATTTTTGTAACGGTTGTAAAAGTTTTGAAATCTTACTCAAAATGCAAAAATTTAAAAAAAAAATACATCATTTCTAGAAATTGTAAGAGAAAAATTAAAATACTTCTTAAATGTTAAGTATTTACTTATTTGTGAATTGTTTTGAATTTTTTCTGATTTATTTTCCTCTTACCTAAATAATGTGAACTAACGGAAACTGGAGGGTGGTTTTGTTTTCATTTTAATAATACCATTGTGACTCCTATAAAATTACAACCAAAAGTAAACAAGCTTATTCAAAACTAAAGTTTACATTCGTTATAAAATCACATTGAAGCTTATACTTACCCATTAAGAAGCTAATTCCATTAAGTAGGTCGATGGATCTATGTTACTTCTGCAAATTTAAAGGACTCTGTTTAGCTTGTGAACTATATTGCCTTTGGCAGTTTACCAGGGCTAATGATACCGAACTTGATTGATATTTACCAGAAGAAACTGCTTTACTTACATTCAATAAATACTTTGATTTGTAAAGAGATCAAAAATGTGACACTATCTTATTTCTGACAAATTTTCATCAATACGTTGAAAATTATTAGTGAAACTTCGCACTTGACCGAACTCTTACCCATTGTTCCAGAAAATCCTTGAAGACTCATGGACGAACCTTCCAGGAAATTCATAATATGACTTATTCATAATTAATTTGAGTCAAACTTGACTATCACCCACTGCAGATCTTTTTCGAACTTCTTTTAAGTAACCAAATAGCAGACACAAGTAATTTCATACATTTACCATAGTTCCGCCACAACCAACTACAGTAAGTTAGGAAGTTGATATTCATACTGTTCAATTTAGATCTGCTATCGGAATGACCGTCATTCATCTTCTACATAATCAGTGATTTTATTCTCCCATTAAAGTAAAAATTTTGAAGTTTGATTTTCTATTGTGTTATTTAATTTCGCAGATTTTTTTTCTTCATTTTTTTCCACTTCACCTGTACTCTTCATCTGTCTTCAATGATCGAAGAACTTTTCTATTTCATAAATTAATCTTTTTTTTTTTAAATTTTTTGAATCATCTTCGGCGTTTTATCTCATTATAAATCATATGGTAATGTTGCCGTTGCTAGGAAGCTTGAGAGATAATTTGAAAAGTTTTAAAAATTCGAAAAATTTACAAAAAATTACTATTTTTTGTTGTTGAAAAATATCAGAATTTCAAGGCTTTTTCGGAGAAAGAAGGTGGTGCATAGAAAATCTGATAAAATTCTCCTGCAATATGTTTGTCCATATATAACTTTTGGGAAGTATGCTTTTCAATTATCAAAACTCTGCTTGTCAATTACAAAGAAAGGTAATTATTGTTTTTTTTTCTATTTACATTCCGCAATCACTGAATGCAGAAACTGTCTAGATAATGTAACTGAAAGCCATCTCCACTTTTTAAAAAAAATTAAACCAAACATTCCAAATAATGGCCTGAAACAACCTCACTCTTACAAATGGAGCATAGTATGTCAGCTGTCTGCCTAATATTTGTTCAAAACAGTGATATACAGTGCCACAGGATAAGGGAAGCTTAATGAATTACTAAATTTGAACTAACTACTAACTACAAAGATCTAAACATTTTAATGACTTGGAAGGTTCTGCACTGAATATACTTCCCTGAAATTATTTAATTTTTGGAAAAGTTTAACCCTGCCAAAGAGGTTATTGGATTTGAATGCTGTTAGCTTAATTATATATTATTTAGTTAAGCTTTCATGTAGTTATTTTATTAAATTTCTGAATATTTATATGTTTTAATCAAATAATAATTCTTATTTATTTCATATAAAAAATGAATCTTGTATTCTTTCCTTTTATCGTTACTGGAAGAAATAAAGATTTTAAACAATCCTTTTGTTAGGATAAACCGTAGTATTAATATTCTGGATATCCTAAACTTCTTCTCAAACCCGTTCCTCACCGGTACGGACTTCAAGTTTAAAGATTTGAATCGGCAATCCAAATATCAATTAGATATCAGTCGTGAAGAGTCAGTGAAAAAAAACTGGGTGCAATTGTTTTTAATGATCAGGCCAGCTTTAAAGCTTATAAAATGATTTTTATCACTGTTTGCAAACAAAAAAAAGAAACTTTAGAGTAAATTAAGTGAGGCAAAAAAGTAAAAATGGGAATCGAACCCACTATGTTGCTCTAAGACCTTGTTGAAGAAATACAAGTATTCCTCGATCACAAAAGTGTGGAAAACTTTTTATTCAAAGTATTATTTTGAGTATTTGTTACCCGGAAAGAACTTTAATATCTTAAGATACCTACGATTTTAAGTAAAACTGGAAAGAAATCAGACTTCAAAATATGAAAATTTTACTTAGTTTGCAGAACCATACTGGATAAAACTCACCGATGCATGTTTCAGATGATTCTTGAAAATATTTTCCATTTTCACATTCACAGTAAAAAAAGTCCTTGAATGCACATTTTTCTTCCCTGCATATTTTTGTACAGTTTTCACAGTGTTTTCCATGGACGTTATCGAAGCAACTACATTCATAATCAGCACCAATCATTTTACAAGTTCCGCCATACTTGCATGGATTTGGAGAACACCGATCAATAGCTATTCGAAGAATAATAACAGAAGCTCAGTCTCATTTAAATCACAATTTTATAAACAAAAATTAACGAAAGACTCTAAATATCTACATTTATAACATACTTTTTGGTACAACTATTTATTTTCTAATTAATAGAAAAAAATCTCGATCGATTATTATTCGGATAATTTACTCAAACTTTAATCCACTAGCGATTATATATGTTACGGTGAATGACCGAAATTTGGAGAATGTCGACTCTCACCGGTGAATGTCAGCAATCACATAGTCGCTTTGGTGAATGTCCGAAATATTTGTTATATCCAATTTTATATTAATTTATTCGTTGATATTATTATATTTATTTGATATATTTATATTTATTCTATATTTTAATACTTACTGACGATAGATTAGAAGAAACATCAGTGTTTGGAGTATCGGGTAAATATATACCGGGCAATGGCACTTGACCTTAAAAAACATCAGTGTAGGGTATACCGGGCAAATTTATACCGGGCAGTGTCACTTAATCTTTAAAAAAACATCAATGTACGGTATACCGAGCAAATGTATACCGGTCAAATGTAAATGTATGGCCCGATACTCCAAACACTAATGTTTCTTCTGATCTATCGTCAGTAAGTATTAAAATATCGAATAAATGTAATTATATCCACGAATAAATTCATATCAAGTCAAATGTAATAAATATTTCGGGCATTCACAAAAGCGACTATGTGATTGTCAACATTCAGCTGTGAAAGTCAACAACCACCGATTTCTGTCATTCACCGTAACATATATAATAGTGTGTTGAATTTACTAAGGAGACTCAATTCATTTTACGAACTCAACTCAAGAGAGCAGCAAAAAACAAGACTCCATGTAGTGATGACGCTCTAAATAATTTTATATAAACGATTTGAAGCTGTCAATGCTGTTATAATACCCTGTCTTTAAAGAATCACGTATTTATAAATTCAAAAAATGCTCTATATTGTTTTATTTATTTATTACACCAATTTACTTGAAAACTAAATTAAGTCAGTTAAGACCTAAAGATTTTATTACACTTGATATAGTGTTTTTTTTACTCAATTCAAGTTTATTTCCGCTCCTTAATGGTATTGTTTTGTTCAAGATAAGTACCGAAATCTGGTATAGTTACTAAAAGGTATAGAAAAGGCATTTCCATTCATTTGATATTTCCGCTCATATGGTTTACGGGAAATTCTAGATTTCAAAATTATAGTTCTTATTTAAACACATTTAGTTAAAAATACATTACTTAAAAGCACACTCAACCGAATGTGCCACGCTCTAAGATATCATGATAAAATTACAAAATTTTGCAGCATTTTAAATTTCGTCACACGTTATAAAGCAATATTTCACTATTAATGTTACCAAAATCATTACCAAAGTGCTTCGGTAAAAATTATAATATTAAACTGAGGAAAACCCAATAATCTATTTTTAATAGAAAATATTATACTAATTATTAAAATGTAATTGTTTTACAATTGTTACCTTAAAAACAAGTTTCAAAATAAAGGTCTTTATTTAAATATTTTTGACAGATATTTCTCATAAATTGTTTTAAACAATCAAACTTCATATAAATAACCAGGATGTTGTTAAACATTATTAAAGGGAAATAAATCACGCTAATTTCTCCTTTAATAGAACATATTAAGTATAATTTATTATTAAATAGAAAAAAAAGTAATGATTTTTTGCAAAGTTAAACTAGTTTACTGAAAGTAGATTATAAACTTTTTTGTTGTTCAACTTGACACAAATAGACCAAAAGTAACAATTTTTTTCCTCATAGAAGTTTCACATTATAAAATTTTATATATGTTGCTGTATACTTTAGATTTGGTATTAAATACTATGATATTTTTTGATTTAATGTGTAACAATTTATTAGTTTTAAGGTATCTTTAGATGAATCAAATTCACATAAAACATACAATTCTTTTTTCTTTTCATTTTTGCATATTTTATTTCAAAATAATAGTTTAGAAACAGTCAAAATTTACTCACGAGTTGTAGGTTTCGTTGATGTAGATGTTGCAACTGATGATGTATCTAAGTCTGCAATATAAATATAAGCACAAAAATATTATTTTGTTACAATTGTAGTCATATTATATATAGGTTTATAAACAAATATTTTTATTTAAACATTTTTGACAAATAATTTCCGTGTATTGTTTCATGCAATCAATCCACGCATAATTCACAAGGATGTCATCAGACAATATTAAAGTGCAGTTAAACACGCTAATTTATTTTTTTATAGAAAATATAAAATATAATTAATTGTTAAATTGAAACAAAAAGTGATGACTTTTTTACCATTTTAATTAAGTTTACTGATTGCGGATCATAGAAGTTTTTGTAGTTGAACTTAACACACATAGATCAAATGTAATAATATCTTTCCCAGGAGAAGTTTCAAATTATAAAACTGTCGTATATATCTTGCTGTATTATTTAGATTCGGTATTAAGTATCATGATACTTTTTTGTTTTAATGTATGACAATTTAAAAGTTTTAAGGTATTTTTAAATGTGTCAAATTTACATGAAACTTATAATTCTCTTTTTTCATTTCTGCATGTTTTATTTCAAATTAATAGTTTCCAAACAGTAAATATTAACTTACGAGAAGTAGGTTTCGTTGATGTGAATGTTGCAACTGATGATGTATCTAAGTTTGCAATATAAATAAAAGCATAAAAGTAATTTTTTGTTATAATAGTAGTCATATTATAAATAGGTTTATAAACAAATATTTTTATTTAAACGTTTTTGACAAATAATTTCTGTAAATTGTTTTATGCAATCAATCCCCTCATAATTTACAAGGATGTCGTCAAAGAGTATTAAAGCGTAGTTAAACAAGCTAATTTAATTTTTAATAGGAAATATATAATAGAATTTTATATTAAAAGGAAAAAAATAATGATTTTTTACAAAGCTAATTAAGCTTACTGAATGCAGATCATAAACTTTTTTGCAGATCACCTTATCACATAGACCAATATCTTTCTTCAGAAATGTTTCAAATTATAAAGTTGCATATATGCTTCTGTATTATTTAGATTCGATATTAATTTCTACGATATTTTTTTGATTTAATGTATGACAATGTAGAAGTTTTAAGTTAATTTTAGATGTATCAAATTCACATAAAACATATAAATCTTTTTTTTCATTTCAGCATATTTTATTTCAAAATAATAGTTTCCAAGCAGTCAAACTTTACCTACGAGTTGCAGGTTTCGTTGATGTAGATGTTGCTACCGATGATATATCTAAGTCTGCTACATAAATATGAGCACAAAAATATTATTTTATTACAACTGTAGTCATATTATAAATAGGGTTATAAACAAATATTTTTAATTAAAAACTTTTTACTCATATTTTCAGTGAATTGTTCCATGCAATCAATCCGCTCATAATTTACAAGGATGTCGTCAAACAATATTAAAGTGTAGTTAAACACGCTAATTTAGTTTCTTATAGAAAATTTAGAATAGAGTTTAATATTAAAATGAAACAAAAAGTGATGAGTTTTTTACAATTTCAATTAAGTTTACTGATTGCGGATTATAAACTTTTTTGTAGTTGAACTTAACAGACATAGATCAAATGTAATAATATCTTTCCTTAGAGAAGTTTAAAATTATAAAACTGTATATATATATATATATACATACCCTCCAACTTATGAAGATTTTGAAAATAATTCTTTCCAGTGGTAGCGAACCAAAGTAGAAATTTTTAAAGCAAATGGATCTCTCATAAAACTTTTATCAGAACTTAAGAATCTTGCCATATGGCCTGCACTTTTATAAGTAATAGTGGACAAGTTACGCTAAAATTATTTTTTTTTAAATTTTAAGACATTAATTTTGCTACCGTCTGAAAAGAAGATTTCTGAAACTACGGAAATTCCGTAGCAGTTGGAGGATATGTATATATTTATATGCACCTCATCAACAACTTTGATGAGGAAATTAATATCTGCGGTATCTAAGTTGCTTTGAAATAAGGACCCTAATCAGTTGCGTTTCTCTGCTTTTATTTATAAATACTATAAAATATTTATATAGTTACATGTTTTATTTTATTTAGATGAGTAACAGAAGCATAATAAATTATTTTATTAAATATTTTTTAAATGATCTCAAAAATAACGTTAGACAAAAAAAAAATTTTTTCTTTTTTAAAAAATGCCCTTATATACAAAAATATATAAGCTGCACATACAAGATTTGCTGTAATTATTGGACAGAATAATCAAAATAATTGTTACAAGTATCAAATTAATTCCTGCACTTTTTGTTATATGTTGTAAGAAAGCACTATTTTCCAATTTCAATTTATTATTAGTTCCTCAAACCTTCAAAAGCTTTGTACTTCATTGATAATTATGTGAAATCGCAAAACCTTATCTCTCATTAATTAACAAAAACAATTGGCAAAAGATTTTTTTAGTGAAATTCAATGAATGTGCTAGTATAGTAGTGTTTCCGTTATTTTGTCCAGCCCCTATATATAAATATATATAAAAATAAACACATATTACATACACATATTACACAATTACAAACACATATTACATAATTTCTCATGACTTTTTTTTAAATTTTTCATTTATTTATTCAAATCTTATGATCCTCATTAAATATTTAATTCTTATTATCCATCGATATTTTTTTTAAATTTTAGAAAGGAATAACTCGAATTAATTAGAAATTTTGCTTACCAATGCATTCCGCATCCTTTTGTCCTTTTTTATCTTCATCTTTAGGTTTGAAACCTACTTTGCACTTACAAGTATACTCATTGCCATTCGCTTCACATTCCGTATTTTTTCCAGTACAGTCAGTGGGTTTGCATTCATGAATATCTTCTAAAAAATGTAAGAATTTAAAAAAAAAGCATTATAACGAAAATTGGTAACTTTTAAATACTACGACTCACTAAATAATATTTTATAAAGTATTTTTTTTTAAGTTTGTAATACGAAGTTTACAACTACCTTACCCTTAAAAAGAGAATTACTCGCTATCCTCTTTGAAGTTTAGTTCTTTCAACCCTACGCATGTCCTGACATACGTATCTCGGTACTACTAAAATGGTTAAGAACCACAAAAATGGTTAAGAACCAAATTATTATTTGAAAGGTTTTTAATGTTGTTTGTTGCCATCAATTCACTTTATATTTAATGTTTAATGAGAAAATGGTGCTTTAAAAGCGAATGATTGTAGGAAATGGGAAGATATGTTTTATTAAAAGAGACCAATTCCTGTGAATCTGCTCAACATATGATTTTATTTTCTCTTCTACAGCAGAAGTTCAAAACAGTATTTAAAAATTTACAATTCTTCAAATTATACCAAAGAAATGGATGGCTTCACATTTAACAAAGATTGATCATTTAAGCATTTATTTCATTTTTTTAATCTTTTTCTTTGGACTCCAGACACATTTTACGAGTTTACATTAAAATAACTTGAAACTTTTTTGTGTAAATGAAGAAGTCATAATTTCTTTAGAGGAGGTATTAGATATTCTGTCACTCGTTCGTGATTTGAAATAACCATTACATGCTTTACTTTTGTTTAGCTGAGTAAAATTTGTATGGTGAATTGCACTTCCTTTTTTTTTTGCTGGCAAGCACTTCATACAAAAATCAAAATTTATTTTCAAGTTACAACTCTTATTGATGTAGATTAATTTAATATATAAATTCATTGATGTAATTTTATTTGTAGCTATTTTTGATAGTGCTTAGATGAAGTATTAGATATTATGTGATTCTAATGCGTTTTTAAATGACAGTTAATGTTATTTAGATGAGAAATAGTTGCATAATGAATTATTTTATTGAATCTTTTTAGATTATCACAAAAATAACGTTAGAGAAAAATATTTTTTTTCTAAAATATGCCGTTATATCCAAAACTATTTAAGCGAGGCATACAAAATTTGTTTTAATTATTGCACATAATAATCAAAATAGTTGTTACAAGTTTCATATTTATTCATACACGTTTTGCCGTATGTTGTAAGAAAACACTATTTTCCGTTTTTTAATTTATTATTAGTCCCTCAAACGTCTAAAGTATACGTACTCTTTTCATAATGACGTAAAATTACAAAAATGTAACTCTGATTAATTGAAAAAATCAATTCTCTAAGTGTTTTTTGGGGAATTTCAAAGAAAGTGTTAGTACAGTTGTGTTTCCGTTATTTTGTCCATCTCCTGTATATAAATATATATTATTTTTAAAATGCATTAGAACGACAACAATATATATGATCTTTTCCATGACAAAACATAATTTCTCTTTTTTTTTTAATTTTTTCATTTGTTAATTCAAATCCTATGTTCCTCATTCAATATTTAAATCTTATTATCATAGATATTTTTGAAAAATTTTGGAAAGGAATAACTCTTATTATTTAGAAATTTTGCTTACTAACGCATTCCGCATTCTTTTGTCCTTTTTTAGCTTCATCTTTAGGTTTGAAACCTGCTTTGCACTTACAAGTATACTCATTGCCATTCGCTTCACATTCCGTATTTTCTCCAGTACAGTCAGTGGGTCTACATTCATGAATATCTTCAAAAAAATGTAAGAAACTTAAGAAAAAGCATTATAACGAAAATTCGTAGCTTTTAAATGCTGCGTCTCCCCAAATTACATTTTATAATGCTTTTTTAAAAGTTTTTAATACAAAGTTTACAACAACCTTTCCCTTAACAAGAGAATTACTCACTGGCTTCTTTAAAGTTAAGTTCTTTGAAGCCAACACATGTCCTTACATACGCATCTCGGTACTTGCGAATGATTTTTTTTAATCCAACTACACAAATTGTTAAGACCCAAATTAATATTTCAAAAGTTTTTAATGTTGTTTGTTGCCATCAATTGGCTTAATATTTAATGTTTAATGAGAAAATAATACTTTAAAAGTGAATGGTTGTTAGAAATGGGAAGATATGTTTTATTAAAAGAAACAATTTCATGTAAATCAGCTTAACATATGATTTTATTTTCTCTTAATATTTAAGCAGTTACCGCAGAAGTTCAAAACCATATTTTAAGCTTAACAATTCTTCAAAATATACCAAGGAAATAGATTCCTTGTATGGTGAATTACACTTCCTTTTTTTTTTGCTGGTAAACATTTTATACAGAAATCAAAATTTATTTTCAAGTTACAACTCTTATTGATGTAGATTAATTTAATTTACAAATTCATTAATGTAATTTTATTTGTAGCTATTTTTGAAAGTGTTTAGATGAACTATTCGATATTATGTGATTCTAATGCGTTTTTAAATGACAGTTAATGTTATTTAGATGAGTAATAGTTGCATAATGAATTATTTTATTGAATCTTTTTAGATTATCACAAAAATAACGTCAGAGAAAAATTTTTTTTCCTAAATATGCACTTATATCAAAAAATATTTAAGCGTGGCATACAAAATTTGTCTTAATTATTGCATATAATAATCAAAATATTTATTACAAGTTTCGAATTTATGCCTGCACTTTTTTGCATATGTTGTAAGAAAACACTATTTTCGGTTTGTAATTTATTATTTGTCCCTCAAACGTCTAAAATATACGTACGTTTTTAATAATGATGTAAAATTACAAAAATGTATCGCTGATTAATTGACAAAATCAATTCTCTAAGTGTTTTTTGGGGAATTTCAAAGAAAGTGTTAGTATAGTTATGTTTCCGTTATTTTGTCCATCTCCTGTATATACACTGGTATGCAAAGCTTAAGCAACAAGTGCGTTTTTGTCAAAACTCTACAAGAAATCATCCGATTGACATGAAATTTGAATATGATGTACATTATTTTGTACTTAAACGATGACAAAAGAATAAAGGCGCAGACATGAATATAAAGCTTAACGTAGGGTATGGAACAAAAAAAAGTCTTTATTTGACATATAGTGGCGTTTCACATGATTGCCTGAAGAAGCGTAAGTACAACTGGCAGATGTTCCCTTGTATGGGATATGCCCTCCCCCTACTGTAATTGTTGCTTGGCATCGTCTCTCCATGCTAAGCACCAGATTTTCCAGGAGTTCTTGGGGTAAGCGTCTCCATTCCTCATTTAACGCATCTTTCAGCTTATGGGTGTTACCAGGAGGATACTGTCGTGCCGCAAGCAGTCTCCCTAATGCATCCCACACATGCTCTAAGGGATTTAGATCTGGAGAGTAAGCTGGCCAATCCATTCGTTTTATATCTTCACTTTCCAGTAGCTCTTGAACATTATCAGTACGGTGTGTCCGGGCATTATCATCCATAAAAATGAAGTCTGGTCCAATGGCCCCTCGGAACAGACGCACGTGGGGTAGGATTACCTCATTGCAGTAGCGGTCTCCAGTTACAGAACCTCGGTCGAAGATCTGAAGCTCAGTCTGCCCGTTCAACATAATGCCATCCCAGACGACAACTGCAGGACCACCGTAACGAACTCATTCCGCGATGTTATTGGGATGAAATCGAGCTTCAACCTCTCTCCAGATGAACTGACGTTGAGAATCGCTTTTAACACTAAAACGACTCTCATCTGTGACGAGGACGCAACTCCATTGATGAGGTGTCCATGTTTCGTGTTCTCTGCGCCACTCTAAACGGTGCCCCCAATGGCTAACTTTTAAAGGTATGCAGCGTTCAGGACGTCTAGCAAAAAAGCCACCTTTGTGGAGGCGTCTGGCCACTGTAAATCTTGATACTTGTCGTCCTGTGGCTGCGCACAGTTGCTGAGATATGGCGCTCGCTGACTGAAAACGGCTTCTTTTCGCCTGGAGGACAATGTAACGGTAATCTCTTGGTGTTGTTTTCCTTGGACGGAAACCACCAAACTTCCGAACAGCTGTACCAGTAGTTTTAAAGGCATTCCAAGATAGAGAAACAACACTTTTGTTGATCCCGATCTCTTCAGCGACACTGGTCACACTACGCCCCTCTTCAAGCTTCCCAATCATTCTTGCTCGAGTAAAGTCGTCTAAATGATTTCTTGAAGACATGTTTCACAAAACAAATCACTTGCAATTGCAGCGAATGTCTTTAACTACGGTGCTCTTCATCCTTTTATCACAGCTTTGACCTGGGCAGGCCGACCCACAAGTTTTACGTATACTTACATCACCTACGACGTTTTATTTCTAAAATTTACGTACAAATAATCTTTCTACTAATTTACTTGCATATTATACTGCAATTTCATGGCTATCTTATACTTTGCTGGTGGGGCTGTGGACGAAAAACCACTTGTTGCTTAAGTTTAGCACGCCAATGTAAATGTATATAATTTTCAAAATGTATTAGAACGACAATAATATATAAGATCTTTTCCATGACAAAAGATAATTTCTCTTTTTTTTCTTTTAATTTTTTATTTGTTAATTCAAATCTTATGATCCTCATTCCATATTTAATTCTTATTATCCAAAGATATTTTTTAAAAATTTTAGAAAGGAATAACTCGTATTAATTAGAAATTTTACTTACCAACGCATTCCGCATTCTTTTGTCCTTTTTTAGCTTCATCTTTAGGTTTGAAACCTGCTTTGCACTTACAAGTATACTCATTGCCTTTCGCTTGACATTCCGTATTTTTTCCAGTACAGTCAATGGGTTTGCATTCATGAATATCTTCAAAAGAATTTAAGAAATTTGTAAAAAATAGTGTTAGAAGGAAAATTCTTATTTTTAAATAACTCGACTTCCTAAATAACCTTTTACAAAGTATATATTTATATATATATATATATATATTTTAATACGAAGTTTTTAATTACCTTTCCCTTAAAAAGAGAATTACTCGTTGTCCCCTTTAANTTTTACAAAGTATATATATATATATATATATATTTTTAATACGAAGTTTTTAACTACCTTTCCCTTAAAAAGAGAATTACTCGTTGCCCCCTTTAATGTCAACGCAGGTCCCTAAATACGTATCACGGTACTTGCGAGTCATTTTTTATAATGTAACTGCAAAAATGTCTAATATCCAAACTATTATTTAAAAAGTTTTTAATGTTGTCTATTGTCATCAATTGACTTTATATTAAATGTTTACTGAAAAAATAATACTTTAAAAGTGAAGAAGGTTGTAATAAATGGGCAGAAATGTTTAATTAAAGTAAACCAATTCCTGTAAATCTGCTCAACATATCATTTTATTTTCTCTTATTATTTGAGCATCTTCAGCATTCGTTCAAATTTATATTTTAAGTTTAAAAATTCCTCAAAATGTAACAAGGAAATAAATACCTTTTATTAACAAAGATAGATCATTGATGCATTTATTTCATTTTTTTAATATTTTTCATTTGTATTCTGATACATTTACCTAGTTTATATTAAAATAAAAGCCTTGAAGCTTTTTTGTGATAAAGAAAGAAGTTCATAATTTTTTTAGAGGAGGTGTTAGATATCAGTTGACTCTTACGTGTTATAAAATAACACTTACATGCTTCAATTCTGTTTAGATGAGTAAAAGTTTTGTGATAAATTACACTTCCTTTTTTTTTACTGGTAAACATTGATGTAGATTAATTAATTTGCTTTTAATATATAATTTCAGTAATGTAATTTTATTTGTAGCCATTTCAGATATTATTTATATGCGCTATTAGATATTATGGGTATCTAATGCGTTTTTAATTGACAGTTGCATGTGTAATTTTATTTAGATGAGAAATAGTTGCATAATGAATAATTTCATTGAATATTTTTATATTATCTGAAAAATAAAGTAAGAGAAAGGTAATTTTTTTTTGAAAACCATGCCTTTATATCCCAAAATATTAAGCTACGTATACAAAATTTTTTGTACTTATTGCTCATAATAATCAAAATAGTTGTTACAAGTTTCAAATTTATGCCTACACTTTTTGGCATATGTTGTAAGAAAACACAATTTTCCGTTTTTAATTTATTATTAGTCCCTCAAACATCTAAAATATAAGTTTTCTTTTAATAATGATGAAAAATTACAAAAATTTATCGCTGATTAATTGACAAAATCAAATCTCTAAGTGTTTTTTAGGGAATTTCAAAGAAAGTTTTAGTATAGTTGTGTTTCCGTTATTTTGTCCATCTCCTGTATATAAATATATATTGTTTTTAAAATGTATTAGAACGACAATAATATGGGCAGAAATGTTTAATTAAAGTAAACCTATTTCTGTAAATCTGCTCAACATATCATTTTATTTTCTCTAATTATTGGAGCATCTTCAGCATTCGTTCAAAGCTATATTTTAAGTTTAAAAATTCCTCAAAGTGTGACAAGGAAATAAATACCTTTTATTAACAAAGATAGATCATTGATGCATTTATTTCATTTTTTTAATATTTTTCATTGGTATTATGATACATTTAACGAGTATATATTAAAATAAAAGCCTTGAAGCTTTTTTGTGATAAAAAAGAAGTTCATAATTTTTTTAGAGGAGGTATTAGATATCAGTTGACTCTTACGTGTTTTAAAATAACACTTACATGCTTCAATTCTGTTTAGATGAGTAAAAGTTTTGTGATAAATTACACTTCCTTTTTTTTGCTGGTAAACATTGATGTAGATTAATTAATTTGCTTTTAATATATAATTTCAGTAATGTAATTTTATTTGTAGCCATTTCAGATATTATTTATATGAGCTATTAGATATTATGGGTATCTAATGCGTTTTTAATTGACATTTGCATGTGTAAATTTATTTAGATGAGAAATAGTTGCATAATGAATAATTTCATTGAATATTTTTATATTATCACAAAAATAAAGTTAGAGAAAGGTAATTTTTTTTTTTATAAACCATGCCTTTATATCCCAAAATATTAAGCTACGTATACAAAATTTTTTGTACTTATTGCACATAATAATCAAAATAGTTGTTACAAGTTTCAAACTTAAGCCTACACTTTTTGGAATATGTTGTAAGAAAACAATATTTTCCGTTTTTAATTTATTATTAGTCCCTCAAACATCTAAAATATACGTTTTCTTTTAATAATGATGTAAAATTACAAAAATTTATCGCTGATTAATTGAGAAAATCAAATCTCTAAGTGTTTTTTAGGAATTTCAAAGAAAGTGTTAGTATAGTTGTGTTTCCGTTATTTTGTCCATCTCCTGTATATAAATATATGTTATTTTTAAAATGTATTAGATCGACAATAATATAAAACTATTATTTCAAAAGTTTTTAATGTTATCTATTGTCATCAATTTACTTTATAATAAATGTTTACTGAAAAAATAATACTTTAAAGTGAAGAAGGTTGTTATAAACGGGCAGAAATGTTTAATTAAAGTAAACCAATTCCTGTAAATCTGCTCAACATATCATTTTATTTTCTCTTATTATTTCAGCATCTTCAGCATTCGTTCAAAGCTATATTTTAAGTTTAAAAATTCCTCAAAATGTAACAAGGAAATAAATACCTTTTATTAACAAAGATAGATCATTGATGCATTTATTTCATTTTTTTAATAGTTTTCATTTGTATTCTAATACATTTAACGAGTTTATATTAAAATAAAAGCCTTGAAGCTTTTTTGTGTAAAAATTCATAATTTTTTTAGAGGAGGTATTAGATATCAGTTGACTCTTACGTGTTTTAAACTAACACTTACATGCTTCAATTCTGTTTAGATGAGTAAAAGTTTTGTGATAAATTACACTTTTTTTTTTACTGGTAAACATTGATGTAGATTAATTAATTTGCTTTTAATATATAATTTCAGTAATGTAATTTTATTTGTAGCCATTTCAGGTATTATTTATATGAGCTATTAGATATTATGGGTATCTAATGCGTTTTTAATTGACAGTTGCATGTGTAATTTTACTTAGATGAGAAATAGTTGCACAATGAAAAATTTCATTGAATATTTTTATATTATCGCAAAAATAAAGTTAGAGAAAGGTAATTTTTTTTCAAAAACCCTGCCTTTATATCCTAAAATATTAAGTTACGTATACAAAATTTTTTGTACTTATTGCACATAATAATCAAAATAGTTGTTACAAGTTTTAAACTTATGCCTACACATTTTGGCATATGTTGTAAGAAAACGCTATTTTCCGTTTTTAATTTATTATTAGTCCCTCAAACATCTAAAATATACGTTTTCTTTTAATAATGATGTAAAATTACAAAAATTTATCTCTGATTAATTGACAAAATCAATTCTCTAA